CCCCCCGCCACCACAGAGTTCAAGAAGAGCTTCGAGAACGACAGTCAGAGCAGCGACAACATCAACTTCCTCAAAGTGCAGTGGTCCTCCCGGCAGCTGCCCACGGTGAGGAGGGGCTGGGGGCTGACAGGGTGGGCACCAGGGGGAGCTGCGGGCAGGGAGACCCCCACTCAGTGCCAGCACCTTGTCCCCTTGGCTGCAGCTGAAGCCCATCCTCTCTGAGATCGAGTACCTGCAGGACCAGCACCTCCTGCTCACCGTCAAATCCCTCGATGGCTACGAGTCCTACGGTGAGTGTCCACACCAGCACCGCGCCTGCACCCGGCGGTCCGTGGGGTGCAGACCCCTGACCCCCCTGCTGTCACCCCCAGGGGAGTGTGTCATCGCCCTGAAGTCGATGATTGGCAGCACAGCGCAGCAGTTCCTCACCTACCTGTCCCACCGTGGCGAGGAGACCGGCAACATCCGCGGCTCCATGAAGGTCCGGGTGCCCACGGAGCGCCTGGGCACCCGCGAGAGGCTCTATGGTGAGGGCTCCCCTCCCCGGGGGAAACTCTGGGGATGGGACCCCACCACTGAGCCCCTGTCCCCCGACAGAGTGGATCAGCATTGATAAGGACGAGACAACAGCCGGCAAAGGGAAGGTGCCTCTGGCTGCCAGGGCCACCCAGGACTATGCCAAGTACGGGGGACAGGGCTCGGTGGGTGGGGGGCACCCCTAACACCCAGCTGGGGGGCCCTGGGGCTCGGGAGGCTGCAGGGATGGGGTGTGGGACATGACTGGGGGCAGCTCTGTGCCATGCAGGGCAGGGATGGGGCTCTGTTGTGCCTCCAAGAGTGACACTGGCATGTTTTGGTGGCTGAGCCCTATCCTGGGGGGCTGAGCCCCATCCTGGGTGTCTGAGCCCAGTCTGAGCCCTGGGTCTCAGCTGGGCTGCTGAGACCAGTCCCAGGGGGTCTGAACCTTGTTACCATCCTGGGGCTCTGAGCTCCACTGCAGGGGTTCGAGCCCCATGGGGCACCCAACACCTCCTGTTGCCCAGGTCTGTGGGGCGGAAGCCCACCAGTGCCGAGCCCCCCACTGCCAACCCAGCGAAGCTTCTGGAGGAGCCCGAGAAGGGCAACACTGCAGCAGCCCCCTGGCCCCCTGCCCCACACCGTGGCACCCCCAGGGACGAGGCTGCCCCGAGCCGGTGAGTGAATGTGGGCAGGGCTGGGGAGGGGGCACGCTCTGGGCTGCCGCGCTCACCCCTGTGCCTGCAGGTCCAAGGCAGAGGCGGTGCCAGAGCTGTCGGGGGCTCCCCTGAAGAACAGCTTCAACAACCCGGCGTACTACGTCCTGGAAGGGGTCCCCCACCAGCTGCTGGCACCGGGGGATCCCGGCAAGCCCCCCAAGGCCAAGGTGCAGCTGGCGGTGCCGGAACGCCGCCGGCAGCCTTCGGTGTGCCGTGGTGACGAGAGCGAGGAGGAGGAGGATCTCGGCACCCTCAACCTGCCCCCGCCGGATTTTCCCCCGCCGCCGCTGCCGCGGGAGCTGGAGCTCCCCCCAAACCCCTTCTTTGGCACCCCCAAGGAGCTGCCGGTGCCCGCCGCTCGTGAGGACCCCAAATCCCACCCCGCTGCCTTCGGAGAGGCTCCCCTGCCCAAGCTGCACCCCCGGCCACCCCCGGCTGCCGGGGCTGGATTCGGGATGGAGGGGGCTTGTGGGACCCCCGTTAGCGGGGGGCTGCCTGCAGTGGGGGGGCTGCCTGCAGTGGGGGGGCTGCCGGGTGCGGGGGGGCTGCTGGATGACCGCTCCTGCTCGGTGCTGCAGATGGCCAAGACGCTGAGTGAGGTGGACTACGGGGGTGGGAAGGGGAGGGTGGCCCCGCCCCCGCCGCTGCTGGCCAAGGGGGGGCTGCCCCCCCGCTGCCTGCCCCCCGACTATGGCCGCCCCCTCGCCTTCCCGCCCCACTCCATCCGGGAGAGCATCCAGGAGGACCTGGCCGAGGAGGTGGGTGATGCAGGGTGGGTGGGGGTCGGGCCGCTGGGCCCCCCGGCGCGCTCAGCCGGGGCTCTCTGGGGGTGCCCCGCGGTGCTGAGGGTGTCGGGGTGCAGGTGCTGGGCCGTGGCGTGGGCGCCGTGCCCGGCGTGGGCGAGTGGCTGCGGGCGCTGGGGCTGGAGCGGTACGAGGAGGGGCTGGTGCGCAACGGCTGGGATGACCTGGAGTTCCTCAGGTGAGCAGCCCCCCAAAACTGCTCACCCACACCCCCCCGACTTGCCATCCTCAGGGGGCCCATGTCCTCCCCGGGGGGCCGCAGCGATGCCCGGGTGGGGTGACCCTGCTTTGGGGAGATCCGCGGGGGCACTGCCCTCAGTGGTGCCCACTGCCCCTGGGGGGGGGGGGGGTCCCCACTGCCCCCTGAGGGTCTCCACTTCCTCGGGGTTTCTGCTTCCCTCACTTCCCCTTGCTGCCCCTGGAGGTCCCCGCAGCCCCCGGAGGGTCCACGCTGCCCTGGGGGGTCCCCACCACTCTTGAGAGGATCCCTACTGCCCCTGGGTGTCCCAGCTGCCCCCCCAGGAACATGTGGCCCCACAGCAGGGACAGGAGGGAGGCTGGGTGGGCACCCAGCAGCCCAAGTGGGAGCTCTTGCACCCCCTCATGGGGGCCTCACCTGGGCGGGGGTGCCCCCCTTGGGGCTGGGGTGTGCCTGGGGGCAGAGAGCTCCACGTCTGCACCCCCACCCCAGTGACATCACGGAGGAGGACCTGGAGGAGGCGGGAGTGCTGGAGCCCGGCCACAAGCGCGTCCTCCTGGAGAGCCTCCAGCTCCGCAAGTAGCTGCCGCCGCACACACCCGGCGTCCCGTGCGCCCCACAGCCCGGCATCCCACATCCTGCGGCTGCACGTCCTGCATCCCAGCACCCGAAATCCTGCGGCAACCAAATCCTGCAGCCACACATCCCACATCTTGCAGTCGCGTGTTCCGTGGCCCGGCACCCTGCGTCCCGCAGCCGGGTCCCGTGGCTGTGCATTCCACACCCCGGATCCTGCGGCCGTGCATCCTGGATCCCACGGCCGTACATCCCAGATCTTGCATCCTGCAGCTGAGGATCCCTCGTGCCACAGTCACGCATCCCGCATCCATGCATCCCACCGTCACCAGCAGCCAGTGGGAGCTCCGGGACCCCCACAGCCTGCCCCCCATCTCGGGTGCGGGGTAACGGGGTGGGGAGGGGGGAGGGGGGGACAGGGTGGGTGGTGGGTTCTGGTCAGACAATTTCACAGGGGGGTCCCTATGGGGCATCCTCACATATAAGTTATTTCTTATTTATTGGAAGAAGGGCTGGGGGAAGGGCTGTTTGGGGGGAACCCTGGGAGCCCTGGCTCCCCCCACAGCCCCTCACAGCTAGGAGGAGGAGGAGGAGGAGGAGGCGCTGAGCAAAGTTGTGTCTCAATCCAAGTGCCTTCATGATGCCCAGCCAGCGCTGGGGTGGGATGGGATGGGAGGGCTTGGCCAGCCCCCACGGACAGCACTGGGCAGAGCTCAGGGTCTCCATCCCCACCCCAAGGGTCCTGTCCCCACCCTGAAAGTCCCATCCCCACTCTGAGGGTCCCTGTCCCCACCCTGAGGGTTCCTGTCCCCAACACAGGAGTCCCACCCCTACCCTGGAGGTTTGTGTCTCCACTCTGAGGGTCCCTGTCCCCGCCCCAGGGATCCATGTCCCCACCCTGGGGATGTCCCGTCCCCTCCCAGGGAGCCCCTGTCCCCACCCTGGGAGATCCCCATCCTCACCCCAGGGGTGCCGTCCCCATCCCTGGAGGTTTCTGTCCCCACCCCAGGGGTCCCTGTCCCCAACTTTGGGGGTTCCATCCCCACCATGGAGGTCCCTGTGCCCGCCCTGGGAGTCCCTACCCCGGGAATCCCACTGCAGCAGTCAGATCAGTGCCTTCACCCAGACCCCACCTCACACCACCAGTGCCTCCGGGGTGTGCCCCCCACTCCCAGTTTGCCCATTAGGTACTTGCTGGGTCCGTCCCCACCCCGGGGGTCTCTGTTGCCCTCGGGGGCCGTGGGGCTGGCACCTGGGTCCCCCCGTGGGTGCTCAGCCCCCAACCTCACCAAGTGCCCTTCCAGGGGGGTCCCTAGAGTGGGGGTCCCCCAGCCATGCCTTCCCCGCTGGGGTGACCCCTCCAGGCTCTCCCTTGTGCCCAGGGGGGTGGTGGGCAGTGCCACCCCCATCACCCCCCTCCCCTCACTCCGGCTGAGATGAAGGATGGGCCGGCCCCCCCCAGCAGCCCCCCCAAAATCCCCTGACTGTTTGTTTGTTACTGGGGTGTTCAGTGTGAACTTCCCCCCACTAAACCCCTGTCTTGTCGTGCCCTGTGTTTGGTGGTTTTTGGTAAATCTGGAATGATTTTTGTTCTGTTTCATGCAATGGGTGTGGTGGAGCTCTCCACGTGGCAAGGGTGGCTCTGGGAGGGTCTGGGAAGGGGGGCAGGATTGAGGAACTGGGTCCCAGTGTGATCTGGGCCCCCCAAGCTGGCTGTACTGGTCTCAGCACAGTCAGGGGTGCTCTGGGCTGACCATACTGGTCCCAGGATAATGGGGACCTTCCAGACTGGCTGTACTGGTCCCTGCAAGTTGGGGACCAGGTCCCTTCTCCCCTTCTTGCCCACCTTGGGTACCCCAGACTGCCCGCCCAACTCCCTGGTGTGCTCCTTGCCACCATTCCAGTGCCCCTAGGACCTTCCCCATCACCACCCCCAGAGGGCCCCAAGAGGCCAGAGGGGCTGTGTGGGGCATCCCTCTCCTCACCCCACTTCAGGGGCTTCCCATGTGGTGCTCCCCCAGCTCCCTACAGCTCCTTGAGGTCTTTGGGAGGGGGGCACCCTAAATAATCCCTAAGGTGCTGGGGGTCTGTGGCATCACCTGGGGGGCTATGGCAGGTTTTGGATAGCTCAGGGGTGGGGGCCATGCAGCCCCTCACCCCTGCAGCCCTTGTGGGGGGGTGCAGCGAGGGCTGGGGGCCAGCAGCAGCATCAATAAATTAAGTTTTATTTGGATTGGTGGCGTTTGCAAACATGGGCAATAAATTACAGAATGGTTAAAAAAAACGAAAGAAAAGTGGGGACCTCACCTCGGAGGCACTGGGGGAGACGGGGGGTGGACGAGGACACACGGGTGGGCTGCCAGCATGCTCACCATGCCACGAAGCCAAGCGGCACGGCAGCACCAGTGTAGGGGGGGGGGCTGGGTGCAAGGGGGCCCACCAGCACCCCAGTCCCCTGCTGGGGACCCTTTGTGAGATCAGGATGTTGTGCTGGGGGGTCCTGACTGCACCCGTGGCAGCTGCAGTGGGAGCACCCATCCTGCTGCTGGGCCCGGCTACTCCGAGGGGTCCCACCAGCTGCTCCAGGGACTCCCACTGGCTGCTCTGGGGGGCCCCGGCTCCTCCGAGGGGTCCCACCGGCTGTTCAGAGGGGTCCCTGCTCCCCCGAGGGGTCCCACTGCGGCTCCAGGGCTTCCATCCCTCACCACCACCCCCTCACCCCCAGCCAGCCGTTCTGGTGCCCCGTCCCCGTGGGCAGCACCCACGGCAGTGCTGGCGAGTCCCGAATCCCCCAGCCCTGCTTTTACTCCCCAAAATCTTGGGGAACGGAGTCTTCTCGCCTCCAGTCCCACCGCGCCGGGGTGCTGCTGGGGGGGGATCCATGTCAGCAGGCAGGATTTGGGGGGCATTCCCTTCCCACACCGAGGAGCGTCTCCCTGCCGCACTCCTCAGCAACACCCACCCCGCGGCCCCCAGACCCCGCCCCATAAAGTGCTTCCTCACCCCCAGCCCAGCGGCAAAGCCCATCGGAGGGGGTTCTCCTGGGGCGGGCACCAGGATACTGGAGCACCCGCAGTGCCGAGGGGAGCCCTGCGCCTGCCCCCAGCCCTGGAGCGCACCGGGAGCCCCCAGAAGCGAAGGCCGTGCCAGGGGCCGAGCACGGCGGTGCCGCCCCCGCCTTGCACCCCCGCGGTCCCGCAGCACCCACGCGGGTGCCGGTGGGAGCTGCCCCAGCTCCGGGTCCATCCCGCCGGCGCAGGGTCCGGGAGGTGGCGCGGGGCGGTCCCTGCTCCATCTCCCCGTTTGCTGAAGCGTCGTGGCCGGGTCCGTGGCGGGGGCAGTGGGTGGGGGATGCAGGATGAGGGCTGGGGGGGATTTGGGGGCAGCCGGATCCGGTGACTCAGTGATCAGAAGAGGTTTGTTTTGATGCCGTTGGGTTTCCGATGGAAGGAGGAGAGGACACCGGAGAAGGGTCCCGGCACAGCCTCGGTGGGCTGCCAGGCTTTCAGCAGCTCGGCCGCGTTGGGGGCACCGCTGCCACCCCCCACCCCTGCCCAGAGGGGCGCCTTGAGGGGCTGTGGGGCATGGCCGGGTCCCATGGGTGCCCCCGCGCCGGGGCTGGGGCTCAGGCTGCCGCCGGGGCTGCCGATGGCAGCGGCAGGCAGGGACGCCGTGCTGTCCGGCGTCGGGCTGCAGTTGGATTCCTTGGATTCGTCATCTTCTGAGGAAGAGCGCGGCTCCGACTTCTTCCCGGCGGCGCCGGTGCCGCTGGCACCCTTGGCATTGGCCGCACGCTCCTGCTTGCGGAATTTGGCTCGACGGTTCTGGAACCACACCTGGGGGGTGGATGGAGGGGATGGGAGCACCCCACACCGATGTCCCTGGGGGTTTGGGGAGCCCGTGGGTGCAGAGGCAGCTCCCCCCCCCAGGCCTTGAGGTTCCCCTCACAGCCCCCCATTCCCACGGGGGAAATGTTTTCCGCAGCACCAGAGGGATCCAGAACAATGTGGATTTGTGAGGTCGGTGCCGGGCACTCGCATGAGCATCGGCGACAGCGGGGGAGAGAAACGCTGAGGGGGCATTGCCAGGGCCCCTCCTGCACCCACACGTGCACCTCGCAGGGTCAGAGCCCACCCGCACAGCGGGCACCTCTCCTGCTCCCCATGGTGCCCACGGTGGGGTCGGCTCCACAAACCATCCCCCCAGCAGCCCCACGGGTCCCCCCATCCTTGGGGCCGGGACCCCCCCAGTCCTGTGGATCCCTACATCCCTATGAGGACAGGTGTTCTGACAAAGGGGGGTCTGCACCCACAAAGGAGGGTCTGCACTAACAGAGGGGGTTCTGCACTCACAAAGAGGGTTCTGCACTCACAAAGAGGGTTCTGCACTCTCACAGAGGGTTCTGCACTAACACAGGGGGGTCTGCACTCACAAAAGAGAATCTGCACCCACACGGGGGGCTCTGCACCCACCAAGAGAAATCTGTACTGACATAGGCAGCGTCTGCATCCAGAAAAAGGGGGGGGGGTCGGTCTACACCCACAAAGGCACCACTCTCTGTCCTCCCCGGACTCTCACCAACCTCCAGGTGTTTGGGATTGGACTAAATAATCGGTGGCAGTGACAGTGCCGTGGCATGAACCAATGCCCCTACTCTGCTGGGAGCCAGGCTGAGCGCCGGGGGTACCCCCGCAGTCCCCGTCAGAGCAGGGCGATGCCCCGCAGTGTCCCCGACCGTGGTGGTGCCGAGGCCGAGTCCCCCCCCGCCCTCCATCCCAACACAGGCAGCATCCCACAGTCAGGGGCCCCGCTCCGGTGGGATTAGATCCCCCCGTTCCGTCATCCTCAACCCCATCCCCATCCCCTCCTCCCCGAGCTGACCTGCACCCGGGCCTCGGTGAGGTCGATCTTGAGGGCCAGCTCCTCGCGGGTGTAGATGTCGGGGTAGTGGGTCTCGGCAAAGACCCTCTCCAGCTCCTTCAGCTGGGAGCTGGTGAAAGTCGTCCGGATCCGCCGCTGCTTCCGCTTCTCGTTGATCCCCGACGGGTCCGAGAAGAATTTGTAGGGAACTGGGAGGGAAACGAGGCGTCAGTGGGACCGGCACAGCAGGAGGGCAGCGGTGGGCACTGGGGAGCACCGGGCAGGGGGTACCAGGCGGGAATGGACCGGCAGGGATGGACCAGGAAGGGACAAGCTGGACAGGATGAATGGGGCAGGGATGAACCACACAGGGAGGGACCGTGACGGGATGAACGGCAGGGGATGGACAGGGTAGGGAACAGACATTGGCCGGGGACAGATGAACTGGGAAGGATACACAGGGCAGGGGTGAACTGGGCAGGAATGGACCGGGAAGGGGTGAATAGTGGTGATGAACCGGGAAGGAATGGACCGAGAAGGAACGGACCGAGCAGGAATGCACCGGGCAGAGACATACCGGGCAGCATGAACGGGGCAGGGATGGACCGAGAAGGAATGGACCGGGAAAAAATGGACCGGGAAGAGATGAATGTGCAGGGATGGACCGGGCAGGAAATACCGGCCAGGGATAGATGAGCAGGGATGGAGCTGGAAGGATGAACTGGGCAGGGGTGAACTGGGAAGGGGTGCACCGGGCAGGGATGGACCGGGGCATGGACCGGGCACGATGATCCAGGCAGGATAAACCGTGCAGGAATGGACCGGGCAGGACCCCGCGGGTAGGGCTGAGTCGCTGCCCCCGCCGCGCCCCTGGCCCCCTTCCTTCGTTGCCGGCGGGATGCGGGGCCTCGGGGTGCGAGCGGGGATGGGGGGGCGATGCGGCGCCGGTGCGGGTGGCGCGGCCGGTACCGATCGGCAGCTCCTTCGTTGTGGGCGCATCCCCAGGCAGCGCCTCCGCGGCGTCAACGAATGCGGAGCGGCGAAGGGGGTCCCGGCCATGGAGATCTTTCCCAGCCCCGTTCTGGGGCTGCCACCGCGCCGGGGACCCCGGGGGAAACGCGGCCGTGCTCGGGGGGCCCGTCCCCACCGGCGGACGAGAGCGGGGAAACCGGGAGCGGGGGCGGTGGGACCGAGCCGGAGTCAGCCTGGGCTGCGGGCACCGGCGGCACCGGGAACCGGCGGGACACAGCACCGGCAGCACCAGGAATCAATAGCACCGGGAATCGATGTCACCGGGAATTGACGGCACCGAGCACCGACAGCAGTGGCTACCGACGGCATCGAGCCCTGACAGTGCCCAGCACCGGCGGCACCGAAAACGGGCAGCAACCGGGCACTGATGGCAGCTTGCGCTGACGGTACCGAGAGCCGACAGTACCGGGCACTGTCGGTACCGGGAACCAGCGGCATCGAGCACCGGCGGTGCCGGGCACTGGGGTCACCGGGAACCGACGGTGTCGGTCGCCAACGGTACCGGGAAACGATGGCTGCGAGTCCTGACAGTGCCGGGCTCCAGCGGCACCAGGAATCGGCAGTAACGGGCACTGTCGGCGCCGGGAACCGATGGTGACGGGCACCGACAGCACCGAGCACTGACAGGGCAACGACGGCACCGGGAATTGATGAGATCGGGCACCGGCAGTAACGGGCACCGGCGGCATCGAGTCCCGACGATACCGCGCGCCGACGGCATCGAGCACCGACGGTACAGGACACCGACGGCTCGGGGAACCGATGGCACCAAGCCCAGACACCGCCGGCAACCGCCGGCCCCGGTCCCCGCCAGCTTCGGTCCCCTCCAACCCCGACGGCGCGGCCGCTTCCTTGCGCCCGTCCTGGGGCTGCTCGGGGGGTGTCCCTGGTGGCTCGGGGGGTCCCGCTGCGTTACCTGCCGAGTAGGGCGAGGGTTGGTGGTCGCGGAGGGCGCCCAGGGCGCAGCTGGCGGAGGCGAGGGGGGCGCAGGCGGGCGCGGGCCCGAAGCCCCCCCGCATGGGGCTGTACTGGAAGGAGCCCGCCTGGCTGCAGGGGCTGAACTCGTAGCTCGCCTCCATGGCGGCCACGCAGGACTCGTAGGAGTTGAGGTAGGAGTAGTCCATGGCGAGCCCGGCGCGGCCCCGGCTGCCGCCCGCCCGTCCCCGCCGCCTCCTGCCCGCCGGGCCCCCGCCCGCCCCCGCCGCCGCCGCCCCGGCCCGTTAATATACTGGCGGGGGGAGCGCGGACAAAGGCTGCGCTCGCCGGGGGCTTTTGCATGACAATATCTCCCGGGGACGGCGGGAGCGGGCGGAGCCGACACCCCCCTCCCCGCAGCCCCCCGCCCCCCTTAACCCTTCGTGGGCGCCCGCACCCCCCTCCTCGAGCCGACCCCAGCAGCCGCCACCTCGGGGCGGGCGGGGGAAGCGGCCCCTCAGCACCCCCCCGGAGCAGCGCTCGGCGGGGCCCCCCCGGGACCAGCGCCGGGACGGTCCCCCGGTGTCCCCATTCTTCTGTATCTTCTCTGTCCCCAGCCCCATCCCGTCCCGTCCTATCCCATCCCGTCTGCATCTCATCCCCATCCCCATTCCCGTGCCCGTGCCATCCCATCCTCGTCCCGTCCCGTCCCATCCCGCGCCTCCGGGGCTGAGCATCCCAGGGGCAGGAGGGCAGCAACGCCAGCCCCCCACCCCTGGGTGCCCTCCGCTGTCCCTGGGTGCGCGGGGGGAGCAGCGGGCTCCGGAGGGGTGCTCAGCCCCACGCCCCTCTCCTTGGGGGGGCTCTGGCCTTTGACACCTCCATCCCCAATTTTCAAGCCGGATGAATTTCAAAGCACCCCATCCCGCCCACCTCCCGCCAAGGGGCCAAGGCAAAGGCTTTGCCCCTTTCAGCGGCACCAGAGGGGGGCACGGGGGCGGGGGGGGGGGATGCAGGGGGATTTGGGGAGGATTTGGCAGGATTTGGGACATTTTCAAGACAAACACTTTCACTAAAGAGGATTTAAAAGTCTAATTGCGCCCAGCGAGGGGCTTTGGGCCCCCCGGGAGGGAAGAAGGAGAACGGACCCTGACCGGGTCCTGTGGAATCAGCTCGAACCTGTCCTGCCCCACATCCAATCCCGCATCCTGCCCCACCTCCTGCCCTATATCTTGGCCCTACACCCTGCCCCATGCTCATGCTGGGTCCTTCCCTGCGTCTCAAGGCCCACAGGGTCCTGCTCCCTCCTGGACTTCCTTCCCTGGGAGCAGCTCCCACCGCCCCCGGCCGGGTCAGCTCTGTCTCCGCTCCCTCGCCCGGGCCCCCGGTGGGTGCTGCCGGTGCCCCCCCGCGCCCACCCCAGCTGCGCGGCCGAGCGGGCAGGTTGCTAAACAAGTTAATTCGATCAGGGCGCGGGGCTGGCGCGGAGCGAGGCCCCACTGTCGGGCTGCTGGAGCTGTGAAAAGTTAATTCAATTAAGTTTTCCCTCTAAACTAATTAGGCAGCAATCTGCCACGCAAGGAGCTGCTGGTGCTACCCAGAGCCGGGGGCAGCTGGGGGGGGTGAGGAGGAGGAGGGAGATGAAGGGGGAGAGCAGAGGGAGGGGGACGTGAAGGGGAGCAGGACAGGGCGCAGCTGGAGGGTAGGGCCAGGGAGTTGCTCTGCATCCCCGCGGCTCCCGTGGGGTGTGGATGTGGGTGATCCCTCCGGATTTTGGTGGATGAAGGGAGATGGGTGCTGGCAGCAGGGGTGCCCAGCTGTCCCCAGTGTTGCCGAGTGGGAAGGGGGGTGGAGGCTGGCACCTCCTGCCCACAAAACGGGTGGCACTGGCAGTGGGGAGGGCTGGGCACAGGGGGGGAGATGGGAGAGACCCACGTCCCTCCATCCCATTTGGCACTAAGGGGCTGCCTGTGGGCTTGGGGCTGTCTGTCTGCCCGGGGCTGTTGGGGCCCTCCTGGAGTTGTGTGTGTGGGGTGATGGGACCCTCTCCAGTGGGACCCCCTCTGACAGGACCGCTCCAAAGGGACCCCTCCGATGGGGAGATTCCTTCCTGTGGGACCTCTCCAACAGGTCCCACGCTGATGGGATCCCCTCTGATGGGACTCCTCCACAGGATCCCCTGTGTTCACACCCCAGGGCCCCCCAGCTCTAGCCCCAGCTTGGGTGGGGTGGTAGCACCCACCCCATCGCCCCCCTCTCCCCCAGAACCCTCAGCCTTCACCACCCTGTGGAGTCCCCCAGGTCAATTGCTGGGGGGTCCTTGTGGGTCCCTCAGTCCCATGGCTGCTCCCAGCTGTGCTGCCATTCTTCCTGGGATGAGGCCAGTGTGTTCTGGGGTGCCTTGAGCCCCCGTGCCGGTGGCACCAGCCGCCCTGACCGAACAAGAACCAGCACAGGGCTGGGGTGCTGGGGACTGAATGTCCTTGGCACAGCCCCGTGGTTCTCCCTCCGAATCCTGTGCTCCCAGGCGCTGCTCCTGCTGGTGGGAGCCCATTCCCCTGCTCTGGCACCAAGAGAATCACCTCCAAGGGTCAGGGAGGGCCCACGTGCACACCCGTGCACACGCAGGCACACCTGTGCACACCTCAGTGCACAGCCATCCGCACCTACGGGAGTGAACCTGACTTTGGGAGGCTCCAGCAGAGCTTGGTGACAGCTCCCAAACCCTCCAGGGATGGGATCCTGCTCCAGCCCTCAGGATTAAGCCAGGAAAAGGCTGCTGGGATGGAAAGGGGGCTCAAAGCAGCCCCCACCAAACCTCTTTGTATCCCTGGAAAACGAGCACCAGCACCGAACCCATGAGAACACAGGGGCAGGGGGTCACAAGTGCAATGGGGACCCTGGCAGCTCGCTGCCACCTCCAATCCATCCCTGTCCCCATCCCAAGGGACAGTGATTTGGGGCTCGGTAATCCTGGGGGGGTTTGATTTCCATCTGTATTTCATGTTCTACTCCTCAAAATCCACGGCTGGGGTAGCTCTGGTGGTGATCATATCCCCCATCCCATCACAAGCAGGTCCCTGGAGGAGCCACCATGGGGGGCTCTGTGTTTGGACAACTCAGTTACACCCAAGATATTAAATTTTTCCTGGAACAAGGTCGGGAGAAAAAGATTCAGCAAGGATTTTGCACCAGGGTGTCAGCTGGCTGGGCTGGGGAGATGTGACAGTGATGGTCCCAGCTCCCAGCTGTGTTCCCAGCTCCCAGTGACGTTCCTGGCTTCTGGTGATGAGCAGGAGACACAGGAGTCCCCTGGGATGGGGATGGGTGATCCCACGGTCACTCTTTCTGGGGACGCAGAGGGTCGGATGTGCATGGCATGTTTATTGCCACAAATAAAGAGAAATGGGGACGATACAGAGCAGGAGCCTGGTGGCTTTTACACTCACACTCGGTCCCTGTGCCCACCTGGCCAGCCCAGCTATCCCAGCAAGCCCCCTCCCATGAGAACGACAAATCCATCCCGGCTCCTGCGTGGTCCACAATCGCTCCCCCCTTCCTTAAAAAGCTCCAACACCCTGTGACACCTCAGGACCCTCCACCGACCCATCCCTGAATGGCACCAGGGCACCTCATCACCCACAGCTGCACCCCCAGAGCCCTCGGTGCCCACCCTGGGGCAGCTCCTGCCCATGTCTGTGTCTGTGCCCGTGTCCATGTCCGTGCCCGTGCCCGGCGGTGGCAGGGCTGCGCCTCTGCCCTCTCTGACACCGCTCACTCTGACTCTTGGGGTACTTTATTGCTGCCAGGAGTGCCCAGTGCTGCCTACAAGAAGTAAGTGATGTTTTCGGGGTTCAGCGGTGCCTGGATCTCCAGTTTTCGGGCCTTGCTGTCCTTCTCCACGATCTCCAGCCGCAGGGTTGGCACCTTGGATTTTTCTGTGCTCTCTGTGCTTTTCAGCAGCTGCTTGTCTGAGTCCTCCACGGTGATCCTGAGGGTGCAGCCGTGTGGCAGCAGGTCCTGCTCGTAGGCAGCTGCCAGCTGGTTCACCACACGACGCTCCACCTGAGGGACAGACCAGATCCTGAGAGGAAAACCCTGGGGGAAGCCTCTCATGGAGCCAAGCAGCTCCATCCACCCTCGGGCAGCGCAGGATCATGGAACCTCCTCCTCCATCCCACTTATTCCCTGTCTCTGGAGTGTGGCTGTGCTGCTTCCTTCCTGAGACCACAGACATCTCCCCTGGGATGAGGAGGATGAGATCCACACAATCATGGAATGGTTTGGATTGGAAAGGATTTTTTAAAGCTCATCCCATTTCACCCCACCACTGCCATGGGCAGGGACACCTTCCACTAGCCCAGGCTGCTCCAAGCCCCATCCAACCTGGCCTTGGACACTTCCAGGGATGGGGCAGCCACAGCTTCTCTGGGCAACCTGTGCCAGGGCCTCCCCACCCTCACAGCCAACAATTCCTTCTCAATACTCAGCCTAAATCTACCGTCAGTTTGAAGCCATTCCCCTTTGCCCTGTCCCTCCAGACCCTTGTCCCCAGTCCCTCTCCAGCTCTCCTGGAGGCCCTTTAGGCCCTGGAAGGAGCTCTCAGCTCTCCCTGGAGCCTTCCCTTCTCCAGGCTGAGCCACCCAGCTCTCCCAGCCTGGCTCCAGAGCAGAGGGGTTCCAGCCCTGGGAGCATCTCCATGACATTCTCTGGACTTGCTCCAGGAGATCCAAGTCTCTTTTGATGTCTTTCCAACCCTCCTGGCTCCCCCTGGGCGGAGGGGCTGGATGTGACACTGAGGACTTCCCCCTGCCTTCACCTCGTGTTTGATGGAGCGGGCGCCGTAGTGCAGGTTGTAGCCGTCGGCCAGCACGTCCATGACCTCCCTGTCCCACAGCAGAGTGATGTTGTGCCTCGCCTTGGCCTGCCACGTGAGCAAGAGGAAGAGGAGGAGGAATTAGGGATGCCTCCCAGCAAGCCTGGCACCCCACTCCTTGAGCAGTGGGGATGCCGTGGTGGGGTGCTGAGAGTCCCTGGGAAGGGCAGAGCTCCAACAGGCCAGGCCCACGGCAGCAAAGGGTCACTCAAATCCCATTTAGTCCCTGGAGAGCTCAGGTACACAAAGACCAACCAGACAGATAACATTTCTGAAGGTGGCTCAGAGCTCACCCCTAGCCCAGCCCAGGAGGAACCGTCCCTGCTGCCCCCAGAGGTCCTGGCCCTCCCCAGCACCCCC